TTAACTTTTTGGGAAAAAGAGAATCACTTGAGGTAAATTTATGTAGACTGTCTACGACCTGTTGCAAATTTATCTGTTTTCAAAAATCAAAAAGTCAAAATCAAAAGGTTTTTTGAATTTGCTCAAACCAACAGCGATTGATTGAAAATTCTATTATTATACGACCGATTTTCCACATCTAACAAATTTTATTTTGAGCAGCATTTTCATGGAACCGGACGTTTTTATATGTTAATCCTCTTTTAGGGCTTATATATATATATATATATATATATATATATGTGTGTGTGTGTGTGTGTGTGTGTGTGTGTGTGTGTAGTGCAGTAATATTTACTCGCTAGCAATTTTAATTATTAAAATTTTGATTATTGCTGCAAATATTTTAAAGAAGCTAGATGCTAACATTTTTAAAAATAATTTGTTTTCTGCAACTTGTAATTTATTTGTAAAAAGTAAGATTTTTTTTCATAATGCTGCCAACTTTCGCAATTTACGACATAAAAATATCGTTTTATTTTATTTTATAACCGGATTTATAAATTTCTTTCCAAGCAAGGTTGTAATGCCCCTGAGACGCAGTGGTTTACAGAGAGTGTAAGAGAATTAGAAGACTTAGTGTGGAAAAGGGAGGAAATAAAGGAACATAATTCAGGAAGAATGAAGATGGCGAATGACGTTGCATTTAAATGTTTCGGGGTTTTAGGTGGAAGGAAAACAAGAAATCGAAAGGGGAGTTCCAGAGGCTAGTAGTACGAGAAAATAATCTATTAAAATAGAAATGACTGTAGAGTCTAGCTATTTCAACGTTATAACGGTGAGACCGAATTGCCAATCGAGTAGCACGATTAAATCCATGCTGTCGAGGCACTAAACAGCTCATCAAAACAAATGTCCATGAAAATATTTTCAGAAAAGACAGAGAGAAGCCACTTCACAACGGTGAGAAAGTGACTGAAGTCGAGATGCCAGAGCAGGATTCCTTACATTACAGACCCTTCTTTGAATTTTGTCAAGAATTTTTAAGGTATATAGAAGGGGAACCAGATCAGATATGATAGCAATATCCAATTCAAGGACGAATGGTAGATTTATAAATGTGCAAGATTAATTTTGACGAGAAGAATTGTCTGATATTGAAACAACTTTCATAGCAAACGATCAAACAATTGATTTAATATAATCTGTTCACTTCATGTCGGCAGAAAACGTGAGTCTAAGAAGGTGCGAAGTTTTGCCCGCCTGGAATTTGCGGAGCAGGCAGAATATGTTTTCTGTGGTGATTAAATGAAAGCAGTTTTGTTTTGGAGACGTTAAAATTTGCAAACCATTCCTTGCCCTAGTTAACCACTGATTGGGGCTCCTTTTTCGAGAGAAATTACCAGTTTTACATTTTCGGATATGTCGGACTTGCTACTAAGACAGGGGTAGATAGTTATGTCATCTGCATAGATGCCTACTTGGGAACTGATGACATCGGGAAGATCGTTGATTAAGATCAGAAACAGCGGAGGTCTGATGGCAGAGTCCTGAGGAACTAATTTGAAATGAACTGGAATCGCATCCATTCAACACCATCTTCATTACACAATTTGTTAGGAAAGATTGGGTTAGCCCTAAAATTCGTCCCGGCACACCGTAACCCTTGAGCTTGTGGAGAAAACCAGCATGCCAAAAACTGTCAACCGCTTTTGACATATCGAGGGCCACAGCACAAGCTTTGCTGTTCTTATCTAAAGCCAAATTCAGTAATGGCTGTTAGAACATCGGCGATAGACTTGGAGAAACGGAAACCATATTGTTTAATTGAAAGTCGTGTGAAGTAAGATGTTTAACAAATTCAGCGTTGATTAGGGCATCTAGTACATTCCAAAAAGAGGAAAAAAACAAATAGGGAAATAATTCCAGGAGTAAAGCGGCTATAAAAAGTTAGGAATTTATTTCATTTTAATCTACCTGAGCTTTCAAATCGATATTGATTAATTATTTAAATTGTTTTGTTAGGTATTTTTCTCTATTTATTCTTCGCTTTCAGAGTCGCACATTCCGTCTATTATCAACACGCTTTCCAGATATTAAAATTGTTGTACTTGTTTGATTTTGTTATCGCCAATTTGCCATTTGCATGCTGGGCTCTTCCTTTTTACAAACAATCATGCATTCAGTCTTCTTGATGTTTATTCCTTTCTACTCACTTTCTTTGCCTACCTACTCTAGGATTTCTTGTAGTCCCCATTCTGTGTCTGCTATCAATACGATGTCATCTACATATTTTATATTGTTGTACTTGTATCCAATTTGCCATTTGCATGCTGGGCTCTTCCTTTTTTACTAACAATCATGCATTCAGTCTTCTTGATGTTTATTCCTTTCTTCTCACTTTCCTTGCCTACCTTCTCTAGGATTTCTTGTAGTCCCCATTCTGTGTCTGCTATCAATACGATGTCATCTACATATTTTATATTGTTGTACTTGTATCTCCAATTTGCCATTTGCATGCTGGGCTCTTCCTTTTTACTAACAATCATGCATTCAGTCTTCTTGATGTTTATTCCTTTCTTCTCACTTTCCTTGCCTACCTTCTCTAGGATTTCTTGTAGTCCCCATTCTGTGTCTGCTATCAATACGATGTCATCTACATATTTTATATTGTTTCTTGTATCTCAATTTGCCATTTGCATGCTGGGCTCTTCCTTTTTACTAACAATCATGCATTCAGTCTTCTTGATGTTTATTCCTTTCTTCTCACTTTCCTTGCCTACCTTCTCTAGGATTTCTTGTAGTCCCCATTCTGTGTCTGCTATCAATACGGTGTCATCTACATATTTTATATTGTTCTACTTGTATCTCCAATTTGCCATTTGCATGCTGGGCTCTTCCTTTTTACTAACAATCATGCATTCAGTCTTCTTGATGTTTATTCCTTTCTTCTCACTTTCCTTGCCTACCTTCTCTAGGATTTCTTGTAGTCCCCATTATGTGTCTGCTATCAATACGATGTCATCTACATATTTTATATTGTTGTACTTGTATCACCAATTTGCCATTTGCATGCTGGGCTCTTCCTTTTTACTAACAATCATGCATTCAGTCTTCTTGATGTTTATTCCTTTCTTCTCACTTTCCTTGCCTACCTTCTCTAGGATTTCTTGTAGTCCCAATTCTGTGTCTGCTATCAATACGGTGTCATCTACATATTTTATATTGTTCTACTTGTATCTCCAATTTGCCATTTGCATGCTGGGCTCTTCTTTTTACTAACAATCATGCATTCAGTCTTCTTGATGTTTATTCCTTTCTTCTCACTTTCCTTGCCTACCTTCTCTAGGATTTCTTGTAGTCCCCATTCTGTGTCTGCTATCAATACGATGTCATCTACATATTTTATATTGTTCTACTTGTATCTCCAATTTGCCATTTGCATGCTGGGCTCTTCCTTTTTACTAACAATCATGCATTCAGTCTTCTTGATGTTTATTCCTTTCTTCTCACTTTCCTTGCCTACCTTCTCTAGGATTTCTTGTAGTCCCCATTCTGTGTCTGCTATCAATACGATGTCATCTACATATTTTATATTGTTCTACTTGTATCTCCAATTTGCCATTTGCATGCTGGGCTCTTCCTTTTTACTAACAATCATGCATTCAGTCTTCTTGATGTTTATTCCTTTCTTCTCACTTTCCTTGCCTACCTTCTCTAGGATTTCTTGTAGTCCCCATTCTGTGTCTGCTATCAATACGGTGTCATCTACATATTTTATATTGTTCTACTTGTATCTCCAATTTGCCATTTGCATGCTGGGCTCTTCCTTTTTACTAACAATCATGCATTCAGTCTTCTTGATGCTTATTACTTTCTTCTCACTTTCCTTGCCTACCTTCTCTAGGATTTCTTGTAGTCCCCATTCTGTGTCTGCTATCAATACGGTGTCATCTACATATTTTATATTGTTCTACTTGTATCTCCAATTCGCCATTTGCATGCTGGGCTCTTCCTTTTTACTAACAATCATGCATTCAGTCTTCTTGATGTTTATTCCTTTCTACTCACTTTCCTTGCCTACCTTCTCTAGGATTTCTTGTAGTCCCCATTCTGTGTCTGCTATCAATACGATGTCATCTACATATTTTATATTGTTCTACTTGTATCTCCAATTTGCCATTTGCATGCTGGGCTCTTCCTTTTTACTAACAATCATGCATTCAGTCTTCTTGATGTTTATTCCTTTCTACTCACTTTCCTTGCCTACCTTCTCTAGGATTTCTTGTAGTCCCCATTCTGTGTCTGCTATCAATACGGTGTCATCTACATATTTTATATTGTTATGCTGAATAGAGATATTCCTCTCTCACTATTAACTTGAGAAATTCAAGATGAGAACTTAATTTGAATTAAAATAATAATAATAATAATAATAATAATAATAATAATAATAAGAAGAAGAAGAAGAAGAAGAAGAAGAATGAATATATTTCCACGACAAATAAAACAGCCGGCCATAAACAGAATTACCTATGGGCCTGAAATTTCTGAAAACCGAAGTAGAGGTTCGATTTCTGTTGTAGAACGCATATTTTCTACGAAAATTCTCGAACATTCAGACCGGTAAATGTAATTAATACTGTTTAATTAAAAACAGAGTATTCATTTAAATAAATTGTATCTATAAAATAACGTACAAACAGAATATATAGTCTCTCTGTTCTCCACCTTTGACATTGTATTATCTCTCTTCCTCTTCCTCTTCCTCTTCCTCTCGCTCTTCTCGTGTCTCTCTTGCTTCCGAATCCCTCTCTGCCTCAAAATATTACTATACTCCTTTCACCTTCTGAATAGCACTCGTTCTCTTATTCTCTCACCTACACAAACAGACTCTCTCTCTCTCTCTGTATTACACACACACACACACACACACACTCCTGTGTGTCTCTTTTGTCTTTCTAATCTCTATCTTTATTTTACTATATGTTAGTATTTCTAGCCGCCCCCACTGTTCTCTTTAGCTTTTGAATGTCCGTCTCTAACTCTCGCTCTCTCTCTCTCTCTCTCTCTCTCTCTGTCTGTGTATATATATCTCTCTCTCTCTCTGTGTGTCTCTCTCTCTGTTATAACGCCTTTCTGGCACTACGAATCTATTTCTCACTCTCTCTCCCTCTCTTTCTGTTATGACGTTTTTCTTGCACTGCGAATATCTTTCCCACTCTCTCTCTCTCTCTCTTTCTCTCTATATCTTTCGGTTCCAACGTTTTCCTTGCACTCTGAATATATTTTCCCTCTTTGTTACTCGCACGCGCAAAGTTCCATAACACCCCTTCAACTACAGCATATCCCCAATTCTTTAGCGCCCCCCCCCCTGCAAAAGCCGTTGTTCAGTCTCTCTTTTTACCCTCTTGTTCCACCAACTTACGATTCTGGCCGTTTAGAAAGCAAAAGTCTGCCTAATTATTTCCCGTTGGCCAATTTCGGACCAGAAGCCAAATCTATACAAACGCGAGGAATATGTCCGACACTTTATTTGTTGCCATTCGAGATTCTTTTGTTGTTTTGTCTGCAATCGTGTTTCGGCAGAGAAAGGTTCCAAAAATACGACATAAATGCGCATGCGTTCATAGCTGTGTATGCAGAGGACAACAAGTGGGACAGGTAGAAAGGGATATATGTCTTATTATGTGTGTATTATTATGTGTATCAGACAGACCGTGGGCGTGTGGAAGTGTGTCTTTATCCGAGTGAAAACAAAAGTGAACACAAAGAACGAAAAAATAATGAGGGTGAGTGAGCGCAAGAAAGAGAGAGTGAGAAGTAGACAAAATGCTAAGGAGAGGATCTGAGAGAGAATTTGTATGCGTTGGGGGTGGGGCCTGGTTTCTGCTTTTTTCATACACAATGGCAGTCACACAATTCCTAACATATTTACATCGGCCAATATTAATTAAGACTACTCGCTTTTCATCTCTCTCTCTCTCTCTCTCTCTCTCTCTCTCTCTCTCTCTCTCTCTCTCTCTCTATCTATCTATCTATCTCCACCCATTTCTTTCCTTCTCTCTTTCTACTTTCTGTTGTTTTCTATTCTTCGCCTCTCTCTCTCTCACACTCTCTTTTTGTCTCTAAACTTCCTCTTTCGATTTTTCTTTTTATCACTCTTTTCTTTTACCTCTTCTTCATTTTCTTTCTTACTCTCACTTTATTCTTCTCTCTATATTTCTCTTCTCTTTCAGCGACTCTCCCACCACTCTTTCCAAATCCCCCGCTCACTTCCACCCTTTTCTTCTTTATCTCTATTTCTATTGACCTATATCTTTCCACTTTTTTTTTCTTCTCGTCTCTCTCCTTCACTCGTTGTAAATATTTTTCTCGCCCTTTATATTTATTTGTGGGCGTTGGAAAGAAAGGTCACAAAAACAGAAGTTATTATTATTATTATTATTATTTTATTCTTCAATATTCGATATTAGATTTTTGCGTCGTATCCAATGTTGTTAAAAGCGAAATATGCCGTCTCTTATGTAATTTAGAAATCAACCCATAAAAAACATTAAAAATATCACCAAAAATATTCATTTTGTTAGCTAATATCCACGAATATCATGAGGTTTCTCAGCGCCCCCGTTATTAAATTAGGTTTCAGTCTCCTTTCTAACTTTTGTTCTAGCTTGTCTTTTAGTTTGTTTTTTTTGGTTTTTTTGTTTTTTTCTCTCCTTTATTGTTATTCCAGCCATAGACGGCGGCTGCCATTTTTTTCAATGGCGGCAAACAAAAGTCTATATTCTGAAATATCTTATTTGCAACGCACTCACAAGAACCAGAGAATTATAAATCAGGACATATATTTTGGTTTGCATATAAAAAAAAAAATTCTCCACATCCAAATAAGAGCATAAACTAAATACCACCACGGAATTTCTAACAAAATCTAAAAGACCGTTTGTGAAATAATTTTAATGTCTTCTTTTAAGTTAAATTTTAGTTTTATGTGAAAAAATTTAATCTAAAGTTAGCCCGCTAAAAGATTAAAAATATCAATCTAAAGTTAACCCGCTAAAAGATTAAAAATATCAATCTAAAGTTAACCCGCTAAAAGATTAAAAATATCAATCTAAAGTTAACCCGCTAAAAGATTAAAAATATCAATATAAAGTTAATCGGCTAAAAGAAAAGAGAAGTAGTTTTACGTCTTTAAGATTTTAGATATTTTTAAAAGTAAAATGTAAAAGCAAACTCTCTTTCGCCCAGTTCGATTTGATAGGCGCCACAAAAAAGAAAAAAAGAAAAAAAAAACAGAAATTAAAATTGTTTTAAAACCCCAGATATTCTTTCAAAGAAAAATAGTAAATTTCATTTCACTAGATTTTGTAAAAAAAAAAATAAAATAAATAAAATATAAAAGTTAAAATATAACGAAAATCCATTTTCTCCAGCAGGGTATGTTTCACTTAATTTTCTTATAACATTTGGCCCTACTTTCAAATCATTGTGCCAGAAATTAAATCTAATACGGAAGACCATCGACTAGAAAACTTTATGGAAATAGTTTCCAGGTCTGTAACAATTCACTAATCAAGTAATTTCTTTATATTTATTGCATTTCTAATATTTACAATAACGAGAAAAAATATTAAACAAGCAAAAATATTACCAGCATGTCTAGATTAGTCAATACTTTCAAGTCGTCAGTCCCTCCTCTATTCAATCAATTCAGGCTGAATGCTTTGCTCGGAAATTCTCATCCAACTCAATACACAATTCATCCGGGGTATCCACACATGATTTTCCCCTAAGAATTGAGGCTATACTGAGTGAGATGTGCATATCCCCGTTGATGGTTTTAGATATCATCTCTAAATTAGACTCCCATAAAAAAAGTGGTGGTGACGGCATACCAGCCGTAGACTAAAGAAATGTACCCCTAAGATGGCTCCAGTTCTCTCCAAACTATACAATATTGCCTCACTGATTCTTGCCTTTCAGCCTGTTAGAAGTCCTCCGGTCTTTAAGAATTCGGGAGACCCTTCTGACTATTCTAACTACTGTCCCACCAGTTTCCTACTATTCTGTGACAAAGTCTTCGAGGCTTTAATCAATGTCGAATTAGTCAACTATCTCACCTCCCATAAATCTGCTCTCTTGCAAACAATATGGTTTCCGCTTGCCCGGTCTGCTGCTGGTGTGCTTACGGCCATAACTGAATATATATAACAAGCTCTTGATAATAACGGCGAAGCTCGGACTGTTGCTCTAAATATATCGAAGGTGTTTGACATGCTGGCTTTCTACGTAAGCTTCAGGGATATGTCATTACAGTACGATTATTTGATTTGATCCAAACATTCCCGTCTAACCGTGAAATGAAAGTTGTCCTAAACAGGTTCTCTTCCAATTCCTTCCATACGAACGCTAGTGTACCTCAAGGCTCTATCTTTGGTTCTACACTGTTTCTGATCTTCATCAATGTTCTTCCCGTCGTCATCAGTTCTACTCAGGCGATACTACCATTTACTCCTGTCTCAATAGTAAATCCAGGATTGCTGACAAAGTTAACCTGGCCATTGGTCTCGAAAACGACCTCCAATCTGTGGTTGACTGGGACAGGAAATGGCTTGTGAATTTAAATTCATCCAAAACGAAACTGCTGTCATTTATTCACCATAGAGAAACTTCCCTGTCTCCTGTCAGTATGGTTGATGCTCAACTCCAAGAGAGCGCCTCACTTCACCTTCTTGGTTTTTAGGTTTCCACTGACCTTAGGTGGAACAACCATATTGAATCAGTAGCTGCATCTATCGCAAGGAAAGTTGGTTCTCTGTGTCGCGCCAGAAGGTTTTTCTCCCTCGAGTCTATCCTTTAAATCTATAAATCAACCATTCGCCCTTGCATGGAATACTGTTGCCATATATGGTCTGGTGCCTCCGTTGTTTATCTCGAGGTACTCGACAAAATCCAAAGACCGTTATGCAATGTGCTCGGTCCTGATTTGGGGTCTTGACTCCTTTCACTTTCTCACCAATGTAATGTGGCTCCCCTCTGCTTTTTCTATATTTTCATAGATTCTGCTCTGACGCGTTATTTTCACTGACACTCCGACTGCATGAATTCAAGCGTGCTACTAGGTTGGCATCTCGGTCCCACCCTTTTAGTGTTGAAACAGTTAAATGTAACCGCCTCTTCTACTCAAACATCTCTCACACTTCCCGACAGTAGAACTCCCTTCCTCTTACTTGCTTCCCTAATAACTATAACCTTCAAAAATTTAAATGTAATATCAATTGACATATACTGTTGCCTAGATCCCCGTTCTTCTTTTTATCCTTTCTTCAACCTCCCACCATACCTAGTCTTTTCCCTTATGTACACTCTCTGTAGCCACCACCCCCGCCTTACGTACTAATGGCATTCCCGCCTTGCTTGGGGTGAAATACTTGAAAAAGATTCACTGTATTTCGCAAGTAATTTAAGTCCATGCCGTGGAGCAATAACTAGAAAACTAATTTGGCTAATCATTACTCGTGAGCCAAATTCTAACAAAAGTATTTTGGCGAGTACGTGCTTAGTAGATTCTGGCTAATATCTCAAAAGCAGTACTTCGTTAGTCTCACAGACCAGTTGCTACTATAGAGTTTTTGCTCTTTTCTGAGAGCCCCACTATGATAGCCTTGTGCCATATTAAGCCACATATATGACAATCAGATTTATTTCCCAATCAATCCGCGCATATCAACGAAAACTACGTTAAGTTGATTGGTGCATTTTCGTTATTCGAATTGATCCCTGAATTCACGAAATTTTGCAGTATTCATTAAAAACAGATGCAGTTCTCCTATTACATGATATTAATACCGCCTGTGCATATTTATGAATGCTCTGTAAAAGATCCTTGTGTCATACTTGACTTAATCAGAATCCGTCCAAGAGTAGAGTCTCAGATCAATTTCTCTGGATTGTACAAAGCTGATTTGTACGTCAGGAAACAACATTTTACAATCGAAATAAAAGTGGAATTATTAAAAGGTCGAATTTTTATTATTATTATTATTACTTTTTGCGTTTTGTGTGTGGCTTTTTTACAAGAGTTAGACGAGGGGATCAATGAGGGAAATGAACAAACAGGAGGAAATGTAAGACTGTTCTTGATGGATGCGTTCCGTTTCATCTGACCTTTTCTATTTTGGTTGCGGACGAGCATGCGTAGTAGTTGAAGAAAATCACGAGACTAATCTTGGACTAAGGAAACAGCCTGATATTTGATATAAGATATAAAAACAGATTATTATCATCATCATTATTATTATTATTATTATTAAGGGAGGACTAAAAAGACAGAGATGAAAAAGTTCTCGGTGGGAGACATCTGGTCAGTATAAGAACGTTTCAACACCAATCGGAGTAAACACATGATAGTAGAAGTAGCATTTCTTTTATAAATAATAATAATAATAATAATAATAATAATAAAACAAGAAATGAAATGGCAAAGACTGTATTGCAACACGAGTAATCAAACTCATTAAATAAAGTGAAGCGAAAGCAATGACGAATTTTTCAAACCATATAATAATTACAATATATATTTATTTATATATTTCCTGTCCCATCTATATGGGGAGGGGAGGTAAATCAACTTAAGTTAGTAAATTAATTTACGAGCGATTACTTCCCTTAGTTGTTTTAATAATCAATACAAATAAAATATTTATCTAAAATTAGTTCCCGTGCAAAATGAACCGTTAATTAATAAGTTCCTTTACTTTTACATTTATTAGTTTCAGTCTTATTTGTTCAAGCTTTTATTATGATACACTCAGATACGTTTATTATGTGATTCTCTTGCTTTAACTTGGTCTTGAAATAGACTTTGTTTTCAGCGTCTTTGCAGTTCTGTTGCTAATCTTTTTCTTCTGAGAGATATTTCCATTTCACTGTTATATTAAACAGACAAGACTTTTAACATGAAAAGATATTGAGCGAAAAGTGATTTATATAATACCAGGAATAATCAATGAATTATATATACCACTGAACGACTAAAAATATAAATTAATAATAGTAATAATGAAACGGTTCCTTGGCTTCTATTTTAGTTGTGAATTCTTTATCTCCTCTTTATTGAATCTCAGTACATTCTCTCAAGGCTTTTGTTTTATGGCATCTCACTATTAAAACTTTCTAACAATTGCCGTCATTTTTGACAGCACTGCTAGACTAGTCATATTATAATTCTGCTTGTGCCTTGGTTAATGAGTGCGTTAGACCCTCTCAATGGCTCATAAATAATGGACTATTCTGCTTTGATCGCGAGGAAAGAGGGAAAGACATAGAGATACTACTTGGTTTCAGAGAAAGAAAGAAAGAAAGAAAGAAAGAAAGAAAGAAAGAAAGAAAGAAAGTACAGGAAGATTGAGGAGGTGATAACACTTTTGTATTTAACGTCTGCTTCGGTGAAATAGAAAAATGTCTAAATTTAAAATCGTTTTATCTGTAAATTTTTCTTTCTTTAAATAATGAACTGCATTTATATTTATGATTATTTTGTTAAAGTTGTTCAACTTAAATATTTCATGATGCCATGAGGTAATTTCCACGGGTATTTTATAGTCGCTAAACTCCTGTTTAGAAATGTCTGCCTGCGTCTCCGCTTGCAGGCATCATCCGCTGGTAGACTATGCTACTCTCCCTCACCTTTTTTTTACGGTATGCCCTTCGCAAGTGATTGATTGTTCTTAATTAAGGAATTCCATCGATAAAACCTTCTTGTGTGGTCGCTGTTCGGGGTTAAATTTTTCAATATTTTAGATATTCAGTAAATTTCCTCTGGCCGTAATAACCTTCAAATAGTATGGCATTGTTCACAAATCTAATAAAAACAAGAAATTAAGAAGAGATAGACGGAGAAACATATACTAATGGTCAGGAGATTCAAAAGAAAATTCCCTGGCCAGTGGGAGATGATCACGGACATAAACTCCCACGTCATGCATGTGGACTTTAGAGCCCTTTCTAAGGAGATAAAGGTAGCCAGGAATTGAGAAATCAGAGAAAGGGATTGACGAGTCAATGTTAGTTCCGCAGAGAGCTAGTATATCAGGAGACATTTCGAAGAGGAACGATTCCACACTGCAGAAATTGGTACGAATACCACGGATGTTGGAGAAGGAAAGGTTTACGGGTTTAGGTGATTTTTGCTGAGCTGGTTTAGGTTTATATTTTTGGTTGTTTACGGTCATGATGAGTTATGTTGGTAGAGAAAGGCCTAGTGTAGTAGTAGCAGTCGGTCATCAAATGCGACATGGGCAGAAAGGAACTGGTGCAGACTGCAAAATAGTATGGCCTCGGGGTTACCAACCGGAGGTGCATGCCGAGACACCCGTTCATGGGCGACACGGCACAGCAAGAACCCCTATATTATAAAACTGTTGATCAGAGCAACCTCTCAAGGCGCAACGCAAGAGTTAGGGTCCCTAAACACCAGTCGGAACAGCAACTAGAAAACTGCCAACCCCTTACCCTCAATATGAAGAGACATTGCCACAAGCTGTACACATCACAAGAGATTCATGAGAGCACCGCTAATATGGCCAGAGAAAGGGAAAGAATCCGAGAACTCCTTCCTAAACAGGAAACAAGGGATGATCCTCTACCCCTGTTCAAGAGAAGTGGGAGGAGTATTGACCGGACGATAAGAAAGCCCATCTATTCCAATTAAAAAAAACAAATGAACAGCAAAACAAACAAAAAACACAAACAAAAACAAGACAATCAATTATGGGCTCAGCATCCAGAGAAATTATAATTATTATAAAGAGTTTCAAGGAGAAAACTCAACTGAAGGGCCAAGCTGATAGGTACGGATTCTTCAGCGCAAGATATGCGTGTAGAGCTCGCTCATAAGCTAAAAGACCCATTGGGAAAAGAGGATAGCGTGGTTTGCACGAGGATGCTTGTTAATTCACTACCCACCGCCTCATACGGATTAGTATAGATTGTTACAGGGCGCAGCTGTCTAGTAGGCAAGATATCTATTCAGAAAAAAAAAGAATTATAAAATAGAAGCATATGAATTGGAGGTGGATATGGAATGGCAGTCTGAAACTGTTATAAAGTTTTATCTTTGTATAAGGCCCAACATTCACTTTTTATGGAAGTGGACACTTCATCGTGCGTGAACTACGCGAGTGAAAATAACGTCCAATGGATGTACGAGTCAAAGAAATGACCAATGAATTAATATACAAGAATGCTATCAAATAGGGGCTTCGGGGATTTCCATTTTTTCTAAGATTTCCAATTCTTCCAAATCCTTGAAAAGGCTTGACAAGGTTGTTCCAAGCACTGCAAACATAATGGACACAACAGACTTCTACACATGCTGCAATGTTAAACTCGTGCTTTCAATATCTCTTTCGTGTTTGATACCATCCAACCTATTCACATATTATTAGGGAATTGTGCCAAGCACGCCAATGATAATGGATATTCTTTTCACCTTGTTTTGAATTTTTCTTTCAAATTTCCTTGCATTTCCCTTAATGCACACTTTTCATAACTTATTTCCAAATTGTTTCAAGCCCACCAAGGATAATGGGTATTCTTGTCTCCATCTTGTTTTGAATTTTTCTTTCAAATTTCCTTGCATTTCCCTTAATGCACACTTTTCATAACTTATTTCCAAATTGTTTCAAGCCCACCAAGGATAATGGGTATTCTTGTCTCCATCTTGTTTTGAATTTTTCTTTCAAATTTCCTTGCATTTCCCTTAATGCACACTTTTCATAATTTCTTTCGGAATAGTTTCAAGCACGCCAATGATAATGGATATACTTGTGTCCTTTTGTTTAGAATTCTTCTTTCCACTTTTTTTGCATTACCAAGATCTTCACTTTTTTCATAACTTATTTCAGAATTGTTTCAAGCACGCGTTAATAATAACATCATTCTGTTATTTCTTCTTCCAATTTTCCTAGAATTTTAAATCCGTGCAAATTTACTATAACATAATTCGGAATTGTTTTTTAAAAACCAAAATATTGTTCTCCACAACTCTCATGTTCATGTTCCACAAAGTTTTGAATTCTTCGTTCAATTTTGTACTTGGACTAATAGTTCTTTACAAAATGCTTCGTAATTGTTCCAGCTCTGTCAAAGATGATAGGTGCCAGGGGAACCGTCATTTTCCAGAATTTTTACTTCTTTTTTACCTCGCATACTTAGAGTTTCAGTCCTTCAAACTTCTTGAGAAGCTATCTACGGAATAGTTCTAAGCACGCCAACCAGGTTGAGCACAACTCTCAGCTTAATATTCATTTATTTTTCAGTTCTCTTCAAAATGCAAATATATTTTTACATTTTTAGTTTTACTCAATGGTCTTCTTGGGCAGCAAGATTTAATATTTGGTGCCAATTCTTTTCTTTTTTTAAAAAATCAGATGTTATAAACTGCATTCGATGAAACCTTTTTGAATTTTCAATTGTCGGAAGCGTTTAAACACACACACACACACACACACACACACACACACACACACACACACACACACACACACACACACACACATATATATATATATATATATATATATATATATATATATATATTATGAAATGGACTAATCCCGACAATTGTTTTAATATATTTTTGTTTATACGTTATTTTTATAGATACAAATATTTAATGCTCTGTTTATAATAAACAGTATTAACAACATTTACCAGCCTGAATATCCGAGAAATCTCAAAGAAGATATGTGTCCTCCGACAGGAATCGAACCATCATATGGCCTAACATGCTATACCATTTAGCTACAGAGAAGGCATCTGTTTAAAAACAGTAATTTAAACTTGCTGACCAGACTCTTCCTCTGTAGCTAAATAGTATAGCACGTCAGGCTATATGGTGGTTCCGTGTAGGATACAGGTTCGATTCCTGTCGGAGGACACATATTCTCTTTGGGATTTTGTCGGACATTCAGGTCGGTAAATGTTGTTTCTACTGTAAAGAGAATTTTTTTTAAATATCTGTATCTATAAAAATAACGTATAAGTAAAATATATATATATATATATATATATATATATATACCGTAAAATATCATTCATTTGCATCATTTCTAGTCGACCAGCCTTTCCTCAATACATGTCTACTTCTTCTGAGCTAACTGTATTTGTTTTCAAATGACTGACAGTCACATCTCTCTCTCCCCCTTCCTTCGTATTATATATATATATGTAAATACTCTTTTGTTATGTCCTATATAAATTGAATATATAACCTACTTTATGTTTATAAAATATAAGATAAGAGTATATAAGAGTATTTGATCTGAGCCCCCATGAACCGTATATGTCCTTGTTGCAATTATGTCAAGTTCATTTGAATTGAATATTTTCTTTGATTTATCTCTTAAAATATTATATTTCTCCCCATTTTTTAATTTTTTTTTTCGTCATTTTCTTTCCCTCCATTTGTCAGGTTTCTCAATGTTTGGCTGTTGTAATTGATTTTTAATTACCTGCTGTAAATATAGAAATCATTTAATAGAATCGATATAATCTTTCTTCTTCTTCTTCTTCTTCTTCTTCTTCTTCTTCTTCTTCTTCTTCTTCTTCTTTCCCTTATACTCTTTTCGATATCGTCTCACGGGTGCAGTACTAAGTACATTGTCATTTGTATTGTGATCTAATTTTCTCGATTCTTCTCTTGTCCAGTTAAGGAAAGTTCCTGAATACCTCAAAGTGATATTTAGCATTTATTTATACTCACTTGTTTATTCATTTCGTCATATTTCAGCTCTTGTTTCTAGTTTCCAATATTTTTCTAATCATTTGAAATACACTACACCAGATTATCTCTTTATTTCATTCTGTTTGATTACATCAATTTCTAGTATACCTAGGTTCATGTAGTACTTTTTAAACTCTGAGCAATTAAAAAAAACTTTTTTACATAGATAAAGCCCTTCGTAAGGTGTGGGCTGTATTCGTGAGAACAATTTTTGTATTTCTTTATGGCATGTGCTACCAGGAATCCCTTCAATGAGTCTATTGGAATATTTTCCAATCAATCCGAGTGTTCCAACTACAACAGGGATTGTTGATGTTCCCATGTGCCACATTTTTGAGATTTTGATTTCAAGGTCCTTGTATTTTGATAGCTTTTTGAAGATCTTCAAAGATACATTGCAGTCTTCAGGGACTGCCATATCAATAAGGATGCACTTTTTTGTTTGTGGTCTCTAATAACAATGTCTGGGCGGTTAGATTATTATTATTATTATTTTGATAAATAACGGCATATTAAAAGACAATTCCTAATAAAAATTGGGTGAAACAAGAATATATTCCCGCTTCATGGTAATACCGAAATAATAATAAAAAGTTTAACAATAAAAAAGGCAGCTAAACATTTTTATCAATCCTCTCTGATTAAAACAAACGTCGAGTACAAAAATGTGCACAGTGAATAAAAAAAAATACATAAAACCCAAGATTAATGTCATATGCAAGAAAATATAACACTAAAGGGCAAATTACCTTTAAGCCTACCAGCAATTCCTTCAGCTTACAGAGAGGTGGCTGGCAGGACTTAATGTACACTGATATCATTAAATACTTTCAAGTGAAACACAAAAGTAGCCAGTGCTCAGTATTAAAAACATGTGTCGGTACACTGCCGGTTTTAACCAAATGTTCAGCTATCGCTGCACCAAGGATAATGGGTATTTTTGTCTCCATCTTGTTTTGAATTTTTCTTTCAAATTTCCTTGCATTTCCCTTAATGCACATTTTCATAATTTCTTTCGGAATAGTTTCAAGCACGCCAATGATAATGGATATACTTGTCACCTTTTGTTTAGAATTATTCTTTCTACTTTCTTTGCATTACCAAGATCTTCACTTTTTTCATAACTTATTTCAGAATTGTTTCAAGCACGCGTTAATAATAACATCATTCTGTTATTTCTTCTTCCAATTTTCCTAGAATTTTAAATCCGTGCAAATTTACTATAACATAATTCGGAATTGTTTTTTAAAAACCAAAATATTGTTCTCCACAACTCTCATGTTCATGTTCCACAAAGTTTTGAATTCTTCGTTCAATTTTGTACTTGGACTAATAGTTCTTTACAAAGTGCTTCGTAATTGTTCCAGCTCTGTCAAAGATGATAGGTGCCAGGGGAACCGTCATTTTCCAGAATTTTTACTTCTTTTTTTCCTCGCATACTTGGAGTTTAAGATCAGAAATGGCTTCATGACATTTTCCATTGACTATTTTTGTAATAAAAAAACTAATGCCACACACATTTTACATAGATAAAGCTCTTTGTAATTTGTGAGTTGTACTTGTGAGTACAATTTTTGTTTTAAGACATGGACTACCAGGAATCACTTCAATGAGTCTATCGGAATTTTTTCCAATCGAACCGAGGACTCCAACTACAACTGGAATTATTGATGTCCTCATGTGCCACATTTTTAGATTTCCACTTCAAAATCCTTGCATTTTGATACTTTATTTTTGTTGTTGTTGAAGATCTTAAAAGATAGATTACAATTTACAGAGATTGCCATGTCAATAAGAAAAGCATATTCTATTTTTGTGGTTTCTGACCACGATGTCTGAACGATTAGTTTTGATTGTTCTGTCTCTGTATTGTAAAATCATATAAGATTGTATATATTCCAGGTTCTATTTCTGTTAACGGATCTAGGTGACTTTTTTAACTTTTCACCCCAAGCAAGGCGGGAGTGCACACAAGGAGTTACAGAAAGTGGGAGCAAATGTAAATAGGAGTGAGAGAGGAAAGGACGAAGAAAAGGACGGGGAATAGATCAAGGCATCTGAAGATGTCGATTGACGTTGCATTTGAATAGTTGGAGATTATAGCTATCAGGGAAGCAAGTAAGAGGAAAGGGGTTCCACAGATGGGAAATGCGAGACATTGAAGTAGAAGAGACGGCTACATTTAAACGTTTCGACAGTGAAAGGATTGGTCGAGATGTATGCAGTTTGGGAACTAGCGAAAATAGTTCGTTAACGTGAAAGTATTTGTGTACCAGTTTCTTGTAGTTTCCTTCCCGTAAATGTTGCATATATTCCAGTGCATATATTGGCCCACTTTATCATACCGAGTTTTAATATTCAATGGATGCTAACACTGCGCACTCTGATACCTTATTATTATTATTATTATTCCATTTCAACTACTCGTTCTCCTTGTCTAAGTAAAGACAGAAAAAAACTAGTGTTTGTACTGGAGCGTTAACAGTGATGATGGTGTAATATGATTATCGAGCATTACCAATGAAATGACGATACTAAATCTTACATACGTAACATATTGCTGTTTAGTTCCTCCTAATTTTGTCAATCACAGTCGACCAACAGGCCTTCTCCGAACATGTATTCTACAGTCTCGTATGCCTCTTCCCTTTGAGGTGGCTGTTTATATATCTTCCTGTTACAGGTTATTTTCTCACGAGTATACATTCTTAGGCGCAACTGGGTTAATCATATGTTCACATGTCGGGGCAATCACATGGCATTACGTGAATCGAAAATGTCCACCGCCGATTAAGCGTTTATCCTTTAAGTCAACCTTCTCTGATGGATACTGAGCAAAAATCTCTTCTGGCATCACCTGAAGTGACCCCAATCCATACTGCAACGGTATTAGACCTAATATTTATTTTGGTGTGAGTATTCACAATTAGTACGGCTTAGCGATATCATTCTCACTGGATTCGTATAAGGATTACAAGTTCGGTATCTACTGCTTTGCAGACTGCTAGGTGATGAAATTTTAAAGCTAAATTATTTCTCCAGTTAAAATACTAAATTTATTTTTTTTTAAATATACTCATAAGGACTCATAAAAAATAATTGAAAGGGATTGTTTCCGTGTGGAAAGAGAAATTAGATTTCGAAATATAGATTCAAATTTGAATTTCATTCAGATTATGAGTGCGTCTATATGTTCGAATGTGCACATGAAGGTTCTAATTCAATGGCAGACCTAAAGATATTTCTAGAAAATTTAAAAAAAAAACAATATTTTGGTTATAATTGTTTGTTACCGAATAACTTCCGGACAAATTAAAAAGAAATCTTATAATTATGGGATGTTTTAAGGTTTAAAAGGTACCTTTTATTCTGACGTTATGATTTTTTTTCAGCTTAGGGTTGGGATTGTTCAGAATGAGTTAGGGGTTAATGTATTATTCCAAACTCAATTTAATCCTCTGTCTGCGTGTCTATATGTGTGTGTCTATGTGTGCGTGCCTGAATGTACATAAAATGGCAAAATCATACACCGTAGGGAATAAACACTACGCAGGCGCAAGCAAAATGATACACAGATTATATGCGATGGGAAAAGAAGCAGCTTCTTTTTTATAATATGAATTATTGATAGTTTTAACACTCGTGGCATCTGGCAGCTTTCTTTGGGGATTAAGAGACAACAAATCTTCTGAAGCCTTGCCTGTATTTACTCATATAGTTGTGTGAATAGTTTTACATCTTTTTCCGGATGTCAAATTCTTCAATATTGTCTTTGCATCTTCAGACACTTCCAGGCAAAGGTGAGAATAAAGATGAGACTGGGCAGAATTTGGGGGAAAAAAGACAACGTCAAAAACGCACTGAATCAAACACATTTTGATTTTTATCTCATTCTTTAAGTTTCATGTTTAATTAATGATACGTCATGTGTTTCCAGTCGAAGAAAGAAACAAAAAGTAAAACTTATGAAAGTATAGGATAAAACAAAGGCATAGGTGACCTTTAATGACCTCTTAAAAGCTATTCAGAGGCTTTCGATCGTGAAGAAAGATTTGATTTGTCTAAGTAAAGGAGTGTGAGAATTGTGGTCAGGCAGAAGAACAATAAAGTCGATTGATTTTTATTTTTTTTTAAGATTTCACCTTTTTGTCCCTCTCACGCAAGCAAATCCATACAGCAATAGGTCAATGGCTGAACAGTGGCGTGAAAGTTGTACTGCTTTCGATTCGATCACGTTCTCCAAATGATTACTGCAGTGAAAAACTTTAATGCAGCTCGGTAGTTATGGCGAAAGATTAGAAAATCTAAGGTTCAGTCTCTAATGACTTTTTGGTAACCCTTGCCACTACGAGTTTTCTTTTAAATTTTAAAATCGAAACTTTTGCTTCAAGTAAAACAGTGGAACGTTATCTTTGTAAAGACTAAATTTCTCATCCGTAACATTATTTTTTCTAGAAGACCAGAACCGAGAAGCTCATCTCCACTCTTGCCTAGCGCTAGCGACTCAATGGTAAAAGGTGGCCAGTCCTCACTTGCCTGTATTGGTAAAAGGTGGCCAGTCCTCTTAACCTGTATTGGTAAAAAAGGCCTATATTGGTAAAAGGTGACCAGTCCTCACTTGCCGTTATTGGTAAAAGGTGACCAGTCCTCACTTAACCTGTATTGGTAAAAGGTGGACAGTCATCACTTGCCTATATTGGTAAAAGGTGACCAGTCCTCACTTGCCTGTATTGGTTATTGGTCATCAAATTGGTAAAAGGTGACCAGTCCTCACTTAACCTGTATTAATAAAAGGTGGACAGTCATCACTTGCCTGTATTGGTAAAAAGTGACCAGTCCCTTAACTTGTATTCCTAAAAATTAAGGCCTGT